GGGGCAAAGCTAATAAATTAAAAAAAATTAAAAATTAAATTAATATGCTGAAGCATGCATAAAGATCAAGTGAAAGTGTCATTGTATTCATGCTTTCAGTCGTGCAAGCAAAGCATTTCCCAATCAGCAGTCACTCAAACAAAGTGGTTGTGCACCATGTTTTGAGGAAGTAAGTACACTGAGCATTAAGTTTCAATTCTTTAAATAAGTATGTGTAGATTATCCCAGTCATCTTAAGGGAAATCAAACCTGGCTTTACTAGAACTTGAAAGCAACTTGATGTCACTTAAAACACAATAGCTCAAATCCAGACTTTAGGCCCAGTTCATAGTACATTTGTCCTATCATTGCGCTGAATTTAATACTAGTCAAATTTTTGTGTACCTAAATACATTTGGTACAGCATTGATTTATACATCAAACCAAATGCAGTCAAAAGCATACATTCACTAGAAGTACTGCAGAAAAAAGAATTATTTGTGCATTCGGCACAATAAGAAGCTCAACATTTGAATCATTGATGTACAGCACAAGTGGCACTGCTGTGATACGGTTGTGCCAAACTCGATTGATTTGTGTACGATCTGTTCATGTAATAAATTCAAACTATTTTTTTTGGCGCAACATTTGCTTGACGTATGACAACCAGGTCTTAAAGTTGGAAATGCAGCAAGGTGAAAAAATTTGAACATCTAAACAGGTCTGAGACTTATCTTTAATGACCACTCTATTGTTTCAGGCATTACAGGTTTTTCTACGTGCATTAACCGTTCCAGTCCATCGAGATGTCATTCATAATGGTGTACGTCAGTATTTACATCGCATGGTTGTCTGTCTTGGACCAGACGTCTTGCAGTTTGTACCTGTTGCTGTCACTCACCTTTTAAAAGACTGTACGGTGAGTAGGAAGCAATTATTATACAACTGCTTTCATGACTGTTGTCAATTGTAAAGAAAAGAATCGAGAACCAGGACAAACCTTTCTATGTCAGCTGGCTATAGGGATGTACAGTATACATTGTAGTTAATCATAGAGGTTGTTGTTATAGGAGCTCATGTTCAGGTACTTTTAAGATTTGAATCTAGATATCACAAGGTAAATTTTTTCCCCTTAGGCACGTGATATTCAAGACTTCATCCCTTTRATTAATCAGATTATTGCAAAGTTCAAGGTTTGTTTATTTTATTTTAAACACATACCACAAAATAGTAGTATAATATATTATCAAACATGAATCCTTGTCTCCTTGTTATGGTGAAAACAATAGTCTCCTTCATGGTTCCCCGCGCCATCTTGAAATGTAGCTGTGCCTTTGCATCAAAGCGGGACAACCGTTGAGCATGCAATGATAGATACCTGTGAATAATTGTCTGTAGGTGTGAAAGAAAGTTTCTACCATTGCACGCTCAAAGGCACAGCTACCTTTCAAGATGGCGCAGGGAACCGTGAAGGAGACTATTGTTGATAGTTGACTTTCATTAGTCTTGACGTGAAGTTAAGGACTGTTTGTACAGTCTTGAATAATTGTGGGAAATGAAAGCATACTTCTAATGTTATTATCACACTCAACCATAATTTCGAGAGGCAGCTCTTATTGCATAACATCTAACTATGTATTCTTTTGATTTTTCCTTGCTACAGCATCAGATAGTACCATTTTTATGTGAAGTATTCATGGCTATTGTCAATGCAATATTCACCGTCCTTGGTAAACCAGTGGATCAGGCAGATACCCAGGTATGCTCAAGCTACTCACATTTATCACTTGAGGGAAACAGTGCACTTTTGCTKTGTAATGATATTGGACATAGCAATAGTCTTCTTYGCAGTTCCCTGCKCCATCTTGAAATRTAGCCGGGCTTTTGCATAGAAGCGAGATGACCGTTGAGTGTGCTATCATATTATAGAAACCKTCTTTCACCCYTACAGACAATAATTCACAGGTTTCTATCATTGCAYGCTCATGCAAAGGATCGACTACATTTCAAGATGACCCAGGGAACCGTGAAGAAGACTATTATAGATAAAAGTGATATTATACTCTGAATATCAATAACATGGTGTGTGAGTAATGTCTTCATATTGTCTGGGTATCTTTTTTGAAAGTCTAATATAGAAAGGTCTTGACGGTAATTTGAATGTTTGATTTTAGGCAACTAAAGAAAAAGAAACATTACGGAGGAGTTATTTCCTGTTTGTTGCTGCCATTGTTAATAATGATGTATCTGAGATACTTACCAGACAAGGTAAGCTCATTCTATTGTCTACAATTCAATATATAGAAGTCTGCACTATACATGACTTTCACAATGGCCGACACTAATTAGCATATTATTGTTRAATTCATAATGTTGACAAAAGAAAACACTCCTGAAGAAGATAGATATCAAAGTTAAAAATAAGCTCTGAATTAGTCTAAAAGAAAAATATTAAATCCTCTGGAAGTTATAAGGGCTGGAAGATGCACAAAAACACCAAAACGAGGCCACCAAGGCCTCAGTAAAGAATTTCATACAAATCCTTGTATTTTCATTCCTCCATAACTTTGTTAGTATTTAGTCTATATCTTCAAAATTTTGCACTAATAATTATTTCTGATAGTTCTTCAATATGACAGTGCCAATCATATAAAATCGATAGTAGGCCTGCATTTGTGAAAGTTGTCTATGGTACTGTACTATTAGTCCGTTATAGAAGAGGGCTTTTGATGTGTTCAGTAATAGACAGAAGTGACAGGAGAAGAAAGAGCTTAAGCAAGTGCTTCTCCTCAGCTTCACTTTCCAGAGCACTCCATAACTGAATGGATTTCTTCTACTGTACCACAGTTTTTTCTATTAACTATGCTACAACTAAGTGTTCATTGAGGTTAAATTCTACTTTACAGAACCTCAACATGTGCAACATGTTCTTCTCACTGTCATCCAAGGTGCAGTGGATTACCCTGACCCTGTGGTAAGCATTCGCACTCCAACAGACATTCTTAGCCAATGAAATTTCAATGATCAGAATCGATAGTTAATTTTAATCATTTTAATGTTAGGCTCAAAAGATATGTTTCAGCGTCTTGAGAAAGCTTGTCGAACTCTGGGGTAAGCAAAAAAACAATATCTCTACACATTTTATGATATACAGCTATTCCAAAAAACGTTGTTGGGGAGAACGGCGAACTGCGATTGTCGAAGAGAGATTGCATGATTGAAAGGGACTATGGTTACATTTAAAATTTCACTTATTGGATTTACGTTACATAGAAATGGAGACTAAATGGAGCCAATGTTTACCACAGACTGTCTTAAAGTACAAATCAGTTGTTATTGCTATCAACAGGCAAAACCCATGGCTATTTCCGGTAGTGCAACCTCCGTTCTACCATTGACATTCGCCATTTTATCCGACAACATATTTTGAAATAGCTATATTTTGTGTGAGAAGTATTGAAAGTACTTTGGTGATTAAATACAAAGACTTCCTTACCATYACAAAGTAATGATTGTTTTGATGTTTCAGGAGGAAACAATGGTGAGAATGGATTCAAGGATTTCATGTACGACAACATTGTACCTGCTTGCTTCCTTGCTCCAATGAAGTCAACATTTGATATGAATGAYGCTCAAACATTCCTTGTAAGTAAAAAGCAGAGATCATGAGGGGAACCTTAAAAAACTACAGACATCTTTGCTGTATTGTTAACATTTTATTGGATAATTTTCAGGCAATGCAAGAAATTGCTCAAACGCAGAAAGTGATATTTCAAAAACAGGTAAGAAATTGTAATTCAAGGTACCTTTACTTCACATTTCGTTTAATGAAAAAATATAAACTTCTTACTCATCATTTTATTTGCATAATAGTTGCCTCCCCCTTTTTATCCTTGATAAACTAAGTTCAGATGCATGTATTTTGCCATTGTCAGGGGGGTGAGTTTCTCAACTACTTACAAGTCAAGTACCTACCAAGTCTAAACTTRGCTCCTTCACTTGTCCAGGTAAGGAGATAGAAGAACACATCAAGAGGCAATGAAGGTTTCAGAGAAAATATAATCTCACTCTATAATATTATTTTCATCTAGGAATACACTCAAGCCCTTCAGCATGCAGATATGAAAACATTCAAAAATTATTCCAAGGTAGGTTCATGCTAGTACCCAGATCCTTCTCAGTTTCCAGATGGAAAATTGAATGCTGTGKTTGAAGACAGTGGAGTCTTTGATTTGACTGGTCCAGAAATTCCCATGTAGCATATTGTACAACCTAGATTCTAGGTCTTTTGGTATCCTTTTCTACCAGAGCCTTTGATTTTCTGTTGGACAACKGAGAATGGTCTGGAKAAGAGAATGAGGTTTTGCAATCACCCTTCTGTTTCATGTCCTAGTTCTTACTAGTCTCTTGCAGCCGTTACAAGGCTTGCTCCCAAGTCACCCTCTCTTAGTGGGGGAGACCTGGGAACGAACCTCGTAACAGCTGCGAAAAGAGACTAAGTTCTTACCAATTTTMATTATATTTTTCAGGCATTTTTTACCCAACTGCAGACGTGACATCAATGATACCTCTTGGTTTTATCTCAAGGGGAACATTTACAGTTTGGAATAAAATAGACAAATAACAGTATAAATTATTGATGAAATCAAAAAATGAATATCCATATTGACATGTACAGAAGAAATTTTGGTATTTTGAATTTTTTAAATAAGTGGTTACTTTGCATTTCAGTCAGTAAATTGGTTATAAAAATTGTGACTAAAATRTTTAACTTCTAGCACTCCGATCTTCTGTGAAATAGTGTGATTTTATGACCTTTCAAACAAGTGGCAATTAGAAATTGTGGTGCAAAGAGATTTAGAAAAAAAATGCAATAAAGAACAATGACGTTTTATACACTAGAGTTTATTTCACAGGTTAATACATATTAATCAAAAATTAAGTTTGTTTTTGTTCTGTCAGTAGTCCTTATTAAAAATTATTAGAGATTATTTTAGCCACTGGAAGGGATATTCTTGGAAGGCAACTAGAATTTTGTGCTCTAATTATGAACTATAGCTTGTTTTATTTTTGTATTTTGTATAACTTGATAATTTTTTGTCACAATATTTTATAATCAGAGATATACCAATTGAAAATATCTYATAATGATATCAATTCTGATGCATGGCTGACTGACAATATTTCTGTTTTATTTTTGTTTTTATTTTA